AGAGAGAGAGATGAAACTATAATTCACTGGTAAAACAATGAGATACACACACACACTTCTTTGTTCATTCTTTGACTTACGGTATCCGATGTTTGCCAAACAATTCATCTAAACGTATGATTTAATGTGATTGAATGAAACATACATTATATCAAATATCAACCAAAAAACATTTGTATCATTTCTATCACAACACGTTTTGCTCCACTTTTTTTTATCTATCGATATAACGATGAAACACAAGAGAACTGTTAAATGTTTGTCACAATCAATAAATTACATTTTCAAACATATTATTCATTAATTTATTCAAATTAATTTAATATGTATAGTGACCCTAATCATTTTGGGATTGGTTGATAATTTTAAAATATAATAAATCTATATTGAATTAAAATTATTAGTATCATGATCTTTAAAATTTTACCATTTTTAAGGAATTTAAAAAATAACATACGGTATAATGTTAGGAAATAAGTGTAAATCCCAAATGCAATGTTAGTGTACTTTCTGAATAACTTATGTTCATATTTTGTCACTAATTTAATTGAATTATATTTTATCGAAACTAAAGTTCTGTATGTGTTTGAAAAGCTATGAAAAATTATAAAATGTAAGTTATTTTCACATAATATGTCAAAACGTGTGCGAAAGAGAGTGAATCGAGTTTTGATTCCCGGTGTGATTGTTTGGTATGGCTTTGCATACAAATCAATAGCCAATCCGTGTGACCAACTGTCACAAAAAGGTGACACTTATTATTTTAGTTATACTATACTAGCACTAAAAGTGTTGTAGCAAAATGTGCTCGTTTTGTATTTTGATACATTCTATGCATAATATTCTGTCAATTCTAGTCATTTTAACCAAATTCTTGTAATTGTTTTTTGAAGTTTTAATGAGTTTTTAAAATTAGTACTTATAGAAAATACATAATTTTAACATCATTTATGGCCAAATATTTGATATAATTAAAATGTATTTTATACAATATGCGATAAATATAAAATAAACAAAACATTATAATAATTTATACACAAACTAATAAACATTGAATTAAAGGACACGAAACTCCAGCGAAACCTGAGTTTGTATTGCGGACGGGGTTTGAAATATTTATTATTTAAAAAATAGATTTATTGTTGGGTTAGAAAGTGTATCGAAAAGTGTGACGGAGTGTAAGTCAACTAATTCTTGACTTCCAGTGACGATCAGCACGTTTTTGTCACAATCCATGCATTTTTCATGAAGAGGTTAATGAGTTTTTTGCCCAAATATTTTTTATCTCTAATAGTCTCTGAATATAATGAATCTGCAATACAATCAAAAAAAGTAAAATAGTGTATGAAATATAGTTTCTGTTTGTTAGCCATATATAACACACAAATATTACTGGAATTGAGTTACTATATTACAGAATAGATACAGAATAAAAACTTTTATACCTATGGGTTTGAGGCAATGCCTATCCTGTTATAACATTGTGTTTATTTGCAACTCTACTCCACTATCCCTTCAACCTATTAATGGTATAAAGCATTTAGAAATTGAAATTTTTTGTTTGTTTGCTTAAATTATTATTATTTTTCTTATTTGATATTTTAAAATTTGTTTTCATGTATTTTTAAGCAAATTTGACTTCAAATATAAGTAATAATTTATTGTTTTTTCAAATTTATGAAAATTACTTACTTTTAGTTGAATTACTTTCTGTGAGAGTATATTATAAATTTGTTATGAAATTTGAATTCAAATAAATATATTATAAGTAAAGTAGAGGAGAAAAACTAAAATTATTTCTATCTTTTTTCCATTGAATATATTATTTCCTTATAAACTATCGTGACTTTTATGCATATATTTTACGCTATCTATGTATTTGTTTTATCAATTTCTCTACAGATCAATATACGACCACAACTACTGGCACTCTATTTCTATTATGTATATTAAAAGTGAATATAAAAATCTATTACATTTAGAGGATTGACTTCTCCTTACTTTAAATAACATCCGTTTCTTAGTATTGGCTAATGTGTGAAAAACGAGTCTATTTTTAATGTGTTTGCAACTAGTTTTTTACCACTATTTAATTACTAACTTATTTGATTAATTAATTCCTACTTATTCCACATTCAATAAACAGCAAAAAACAATGAATTTAAATTTCATATCAATTTATATTCACAAAACACTCGTCAGCGGAATCTACAGTACATTCAATGCTTAATACCACCGGAAAAGCCATTTAAGCAAATAAATGATTCAATCGTTTCTTATTATATTATTTTATTTCTCTTTTAATTTCAAATTCTTTTATACAGTGTTTTGAGTCGACTTTTTTTGTTAAGAAAAGCACAAAACAAAAGTGAAAATAAATAATGATTACAGCAATTAAATGTATGGCAGTACTTGAAAACATTAAACATTATATCCATTACTCTGTTATATATAAATGTTTTTATATTATTATACAGAGAGATGTGCAAAGAGTAGGTCCACCCAAAACTCAATGTCTAATGAATATAAGCCATGATTTTGTCCCAAAAACTGATAAAAACAATTAAAATAAAAGTACCGTTGAATCCCTGAGTTTCTCAAAAAAAAACTAAACAAATCCCAAAATAAAATGAGTGATTATATGTCGTCCCAAGTGTTTGCACACCTCTGGTATTGTGTGTTCTTCTATAGTAATAGTGTATTATATAACAAAAGATCACTTTTATCTCGTTTGCCAACAACTGACTGACTGTATGTGCATAACAATTGCTAATTGAAATCAATACAAGTATTGTATTATTTTTTATTTATTTATATATACTGTATATATTATATGCTCAGTACAAATGGGTTGCAATTTATATACATTATTAGACCTAATATTTTATAGAATTGAATAGAAATTTGTTTGATATAGCATTGAAACGTTACACTCGTGTCTCACATACTATGGTCTCCGCAATTGAACACAATTTTCTAATGTAAAGCTTCATTAGAGAGGTTTGCACTTTACTATAGGAAACAGCCATTACTTCTTGCGATGCATATGATGTCTACCATTAAGAAGTTAGAAACGATGGGTCCATTACTCCCACCATATCATACAATATCATACCATTGCATATCATTCCCACTTTTTTTCCATACCCATTGAGTGCAGAGCCGATTGTAAAGTCGTTTCAAATGATAAAATCAACACAAATCTCAATTCTGTTCACTTTTTTAAAATATTTGTTTAACCAAAACATTAGGCGCTTCTCATTATTTAATTACTTATTTACATGATTATTATAATCTATAACATTATAAGCGCATCGAAAACACTAACCACTCAAATATATATTAAATTATCTTCAGATTTGTTGTATTTATAATTAATTAAATAATAAACAGTTTCTTCTTCTTCTTCTATCAATATTATTGACGATTCTGTATAACAGTGTTTGAGTAGTATTTGTTAGGATTGAGAGTAAAACTGTTATAACGTTCTTATTGTGATGTCTTTCATCAGGAGATGGATGTCCTCACGAGGGAAATCACTGGCAATACAGACACTCCGTATGACTGTATCACTGCATTGGCTTCTCCTCCAAAAATAACTGAATCCTAAGTCTATGAGAGGTTTCAGTCGTCGCCTCCAAAACACTTGCGAAACACATTGTGTTTCATGTGTTTTGCAAATCTCTATTTTATTGCCCATCGAATCGGACACACATTTGCCAATGATATAGACGTTAGTGAAGACCAATTGCACGCCAATTGCAGTATGGGATCAGTTTTAGTCAAACACGACAATAAAATAAAACAATTTTTGGGTCAATATTTGTCGCATTCGTCCCATAATTACCAATTGAGAGGGAAATGTAATGTTTTGATTAAATCTTCTCTCAATTAAATGTTGAATGTATGCAAACTTTGAAGCAATTTATACATTATTTGCAGACATTTAGTGGTGAGCAATAAGTTGTTCCAAATATATGATGGTTTGAAAACATCACAAATTCAGACGTTTATATATTTATAGTTATTAATGAAACTATGTTTTTGTGTATTTACTCGAAAAATACTATATATTTGATGTGTATATACAGTATAATGAATGATGTTTTAAGTCCTGCGATACATAAGCGACAGTAGAGAGCATAGGAGGCAGAAGAACCAGTTTAACCATATATTCCACTTGCTATTCATCCTGGCTATAGACGATGCCGTGTCTCGCACTGATAGGTATGCATGAAATATAATTCAATTATATAATACATATTATTCTCAGCAAAAAATAATCGATTTTGATTTGTTTGTGTTTATATAAATTTAATCTCAGATTTATTTTTAAAATTGAGATAACAATCAAAACAGAAAAAGATAGAGAAGAGAAATTCAATTCACTTATAATATATAATATATTATATGTAATGAAAAATGAATTCCTTTCCCATTGAAATGGAAATCTAGTCTATATTTACATAATATTATTATTTGAATGATTATATGATTTAATTTTATCGAATGGAAAAGTCTGTCGAAAAAAATATAAATACAAAGTTCGCGATCTTTAGAGCGACGAGAAATCAATTGTATTTTCATATAATATTTGATATTTGAAGAGTGAATTCAATTCCCAGAATAGGGAGAAGAGTGTATTGTATTGAGTGAAGAGTGTATTATATTTTTGGGTTTACATATAATAAAGGGCTCGCAATACAAGTGACTTAAGGCCTCATACCTTGGCTTAGATTCTCGCTTATATGCAGTCCTGAGGTCTTGACGTCTGCGGCGGCCAACGCTTCGTTGCTCATCGTATACATCCTCGATATGGTTGCCGTGCATTTCAATCGCATATTATTGCCACTCCGAAAGTGCTGCAAAACCAATGCAAAACATATCATGTTCACCACAGATCATCATTTCTGTCCATTCACTCCACTAATTCACCGCTATTACACTTCCCCACCAAACAATACTACACCAAATGCACAACTCATCTAAATATCTATATCAATATTCTCTCACTTAGACCTTCCTATCCATTATATGCCTCTCTATTGATCACACAATAGTAGTGTTCAGATGTGACTAACCTTTTCGTTGGCAATAAATTTGAGACTTAAACTACTGGTCTCGAGACCATCGGAATGGAGTGTTGTTGAGTACATCGTCTCGTATTCACTGCCCGTCTGTAAGACATTCATCAATAGATATACTATTAATACACTTATATATTAATATTACGCAATCATTACTATATGAAACATGGTTTCAATGGTAGTAAATGTTTGAGTATTATATTGATATTAAATGATTAGAGAATATATGACTAACACTTACTTCTTGATCGTTAATATACCTGATGTTTATTATTAGGTAATGATTGGATCGATGGCAGAGAGAAAGTGAAAATAAATTAAAAGCAATAAAAATTTATAAGTATTTGAGTTGATAAAAGTGATAACTGAGTGAAAGCCATACCACTGTAATGAGGCCGAGGGCTTACTCTTGGCTGAAGTGCAATTCAACGATACTATAAAACCGTATAATAAAAGCGTTTAATATATTGTATCTCAAAGACGAATATAAAGACGAAGGAATAAATTTCTGTGTTTAAAGCACTTCAACATAACGTCAATGAAAATAAAGTACACAATAAAAAAAGTTTGTGTCAAAACTAGTGTGCAATAAACTAATCATTACCTATATCTCCGACTTTATATTTGGCTCGACTGCCTGTTATGGACGGCCCCGTCATTGGAAGCACTGGTTGTGTTCACCAAAAAAATTATAACAAATTATTAATTAATAAATTTTTCATTTATTATAACTTTATTCGCAAATAATACTATTTTTGTCGCAAAAATTATAATTTTCTTTCATTTCGTTTTAAGTCTTAATTAATCAAAACGAATATAAAGTCTAGAAAAATAGCAAATTTGGAAATTAATGAACGAAAACATTAATCATTCAAAAAAGATTTATTCTTCAACACAACTATTAAATATTTAGCTGTTTTTAATTCAACGTCTCATAAACTAAAGCAAAACTGCCTTTTTATATATAGATGTCTGCTCTTTGTGTCACTTTGTTTTATATTTTCATTCATTATTCATATCATTTTGTAAACCATTTTTACCTACAATTATAATGTCTTGTTTCTCTAATTGTGATAATTATTCCCATTGTAGTCAATGATTAAATAAAATAATTATTAAATTAACTTTTTAAGAGTTTTCCGCTCACAAGAAATTCTCCTAAAAGCATGTTTTGAAAACTCAAAATCAAAATTATTTTGATTTTTTACATAAAATTGCAAAAAATGAAACATAAAATCCGTGCCATTCCTAACAAAATGATATTAAAATATATATTATTGTATTTTGTAAAGAATAAGTGCAACAGTTTTACTAATATTGATATAAATCATATTATGTATAGTTTAGAGGCAATCGATTTCAAAGACATAAATATGAAATATATATTTAAAATAAATGTTTCTCAAAATATCAGAATCGTTGGAAAAGATTTCCAAAAATAGTATGTTTTGATCACTTAATAGTCTGTTATAATATCATATACAGAGATATGTCTAAAACTTTGTAAATCTTATTTGTATTGCAGTCAACGATATGTCAATAAAAGAATACTCAAAATCACTGAATCAAACCATAGGATCAAGAATTGTATCGTTAAATGCATTGAATTTTTTTCTATTAGATATGCAGTGGTTTGAAGTAAAAATAATATTAAATTAAAATAAAATCTCTAAAATATTCTTAAAATCTGCTAAAATGAGGCAAAAAATTAAAAATATAAAATTAAATAAAAAGATATTAATTAATAAATAAAAATTTGTAACACACGATGAAAAATATTTTAATTTTTCTTTTATAATTAATTACTCAAATAGAAATAAATAAATTACAACGAATTAAAAGATTAATATACAACTAAATTAATGATTGAAGTAATTTATTTATAAATGGTGTGATTTTATTTGGATTAATCAAATATTGTCTATTATTGTCATTACAATCCTTGTATTGTATGACAACATCTGTTAGACATACAGTAATATATATTAAATCGCTTATAGAATGTGTGTTTCTATTCATTTAGATTTCTTCCCAAAGCCTATCAATTGAAGCGTTTTCTCTCAAAGAATTCAATTATTCATTTTCTCTGTTAATTCAATGCTTTGAAAAGTTTATATAATATATGTTTACATTTGAGTTAACAAAAGAATTCGTTTAATTCATTGTATTTTATTTTATAATAACTTAATTACAAAACAGTTTAACAGTGAAGGCATGAAAAAATGTGTAATTCTTTTCACTCATTCATTCATTTTATTCAATCAATCTATAGATCATATAATCTCTTGTATTTTCATTCAGTTCTTCCGTTGAAAACAGAATTTTGTTTTTTCCGGACAAAAATGATACCAAATATTTCAAGAATTAGCTTTTAATCTCAATTATATTTAATTCAATTTAACAACAAAAACACAATTTTCGTTAATTATCATTAATTAGTATAAATGCGAACAATTAATTTAATTTAAATCTTAAATTAATTAATTTTAGATATAAATTATAGTGAAAGCCGCAGACATTTCCTCAACGCCTCAATTAATCGAGTTATAAATGTTTTGCGAAAATTTCGTCATAAATTAAAATAGAAAATTATTGATAAAAATAGTTCATAAATCATTTCCCATAGTTTTATAGTTAAAATCTAGATCAGAATTTTAAGCATCAATTTGCATTTATAAATTATCTTAATTAATCAAAACTTAGATAAACTTACATCTAAAACTCTATATAAAATATCTATTTAAAAGTTTATAAAAATATGCTGTATTTAAAATAAAGTTTTATTGACTTATTTTATTGCTTTTAATTCAATATCAAATAGTGTTTTTCTCAATTAAGTTCAGATAAGGTGTGCATTGAATCGATTTAATAGCAATTTAGAGGGAAAATACAATTCCGTATAAATTATTAATGAAAAGTCAAAGAGAAAGTCAAAACTGTTATATAAATATTAGTTTATAAAAAGTAAAATTTAACAGAAAAATAATTTATTACTTTTGATTTAATGATTCACGGAATTCATTACATAAATTATATTTGGGTTAATGAGGACTGAAAACAAAATTTAATGAATTCATGCAAATCTCAATATATATTTGGTTATATACGGCAAATGACATTATGTTTGCGGAAAACATTGCTCTCATATTTATATACTATATAATAAGCGACAAAATATCTGATAATATATAATTCGATAGTCATGTTATCTGTATATCTATAACCATAATATGTCATAAAAATTAATAATTAATAAAACAGTGTATTACCGGTCACTTCAAGAACCTTCTGGCCCTCAGCCGTCACAAAAGATGGGGCTTCCGCTGAGACCTCACATCTAAATAGATATTTATTGAATGAAACACACATTCATATCAAGATATATGCATTTCTCATACATACCTATAGAGACCGGCCGAATGGATGTCTACCTGTTTCAGATACACTGAATTTTTGCCACTTCTTGACAGCTAATAAACAATTTAAAGTAATAGTTATTTTGGCTTTTATTGCACTCATAAAGAGTATGTATTAGTATTGATATGAATGCTTACGTCGACTCTAATGCCAGGCATAGGGAGGAACTGTCCGGGCGGCCAATCCTTCAACAAAAGTATAGCACACTTTAGATTTCTTTTTATTCAATTATCTAATATATAGCATACCTTTGGGACATATCTTCGCGTATTATGTAAAACAATTTTGAATATAAAAATGCAGTGAATATTAATAAATATTAATTAATTCATAAACAAAAGAAATAAATTATGTTCACAGAAAATGCAAATATATTTAATTAGTATTATTTGTCAAAACGTTCAATCGCTTACCGATAGAATTCCACATCATTTTTATACCTAAAAATAATACATTAATTAATGGTTTGTAATAATTTATTTTAATTAGTGTTATTTTATGTTCTGTTTGTGTGTTTATATTAATAACAATAAATATTATGTTTTCAATCGTGTGTTTAGTAATTAAAACAAATATACACACCATTTGACAGAATAAAGTCGATCATCACCTAGATCATATGAGCAAGTCAGTTCGACCGATTCGCCCACGTACGATGGCGAGGGCACGTCCAGCATGATCAGACGCAACGATATTATATTCTCCGCTATACATACATGTAATTTCATATATAATATGGTTTAGAATTCAATTTAATAAATATATTATTTGGAAAAAACATTTCTTATTTAATACAATGCTGTTATTAATGTATAGAATCTTGAGATTTAGCCTAATATATAATATAAGTCTTTTATTTATATTTTTAAAAATCTTTTAATACCATAATGGTTGAGATAAATATACGGTAGAATTATGTGACATAACTTATGTCTATAACTATACAAATATAATATTTAGTGCATTATATGGCGAAATCAAAATTGAAAAGTTTGATGGATTAAATTAGTTGTGATTGAAATTGATGTCTATTTTATAATTATTTTCATGAATTCATTCGTTTTGCTATTTTTTATATACGGCTTTGAATTTAAATTCATTCTCACATCAAATCATACATAAGTGTTGAGAGAGTTTGGGATTTGTAATACATTTATCATATTTTATCTCAAGTTTTTTCATTTAGATTTCTGAGTAAAATAGATATTGATTTGCAGTAAACTTATCGCATATAAGTTCTACAATTCTAGACCTTATATTAAATCTGTTGAAAATCCATTTAATTTCACCAAAACGTGAATTCATTTATATAATGAGTTTGGTTTGGGATATCATTTAATTAATATATATTAAAAAACTACTTTTTTATGCGATATAAAAATTACAATTTCATATATTTTATTCCCATTAAAATATATCATTGTATTAATCTTTAGCATTAATTTTTAATATTTGCAAAAATATAATTATTAAAGAAAAATATATGAATTAAACGGATATTAAAGGAAGTATTAATTCATAGACTCACCGCATATGAGCAGAAGTAGGAGTAATAGTAAGCAAAACATGTTTTTTCAATTTTGAGTCGTCAACGCAATAATAGGCGAGGGATCGGAAATTGTGATATAAATTGTGATATACATTATCGCTATTGTATTGTAAGCGTCGGCACACAACTGGTCCACACCGTCAACATCTTTTAATCCGAGGCCACAGTATATATACTGTATATTGAGTTTGGTTTTAAATTCACTTTACTTTGGCTATGGGTTCGGGCGTCGCATACATTGCGCTCAACCATACGGTAGACACGAGTCCTCCTATTATTGAAACGAATAAAGAGTATAAGAATAAGAGATATAAGAAGTAAAAAGATTGATGTATTTATGCGACCAATCCTTTAAGATTCTTTTGGGCTTTACTTTCAGCTCTCAATGACTCGTTTGTATTCAACTAAATGTGTTTCGCAAACTATTTCTTAACACTTTTCTCGCAATAATTTTTATATTCAAACAAAAGCAAAAAAACAAAAGTTTTTCTTTCAGAAACTAAATACTGTTTTACATTTGTATTAATGTTTTCGACTTATAAATGACAGAAAACAGTACAGAAAAACCGCGACACTAAATATCGCACATGTCTTGACTTTATAATCAAAAAGTTTAAAGTTTAATATAAAAAATTGTTTTTTAAATAAAAATAATTTATTTAAACAATATTATAATGAATGCATTATTGATTTATTTGAATGCATTACAGTATCTTAATTCTAGCAGTGATTTCATGTGACCTAAAACTGAGAAAGAAAGACAGTCAGACATGCGATCAAATCAATTGATTGATTGATGTGTTAATCACTTTTGCAAATGAATTATTTGTTATTTAGTTTTATATTTTTGTGGAAAAATAAAATTTATTTGAGTTGAAAAATGTTTGATAAAGTATTTTATAACTTATCTATTGACTGACGCTATCATTATATTTATATGCTATGCAGTGGAGCGTCATTTCAGGGGAAACATTGATAATAACATTTTGTTCATAATTGTGTAGAGTTTTGATAACAAGAGTAGTCTATAAAGTATTTGGTTTACAATTTTTTGTGTGGTTTATAATAAAGACAGTAAATGTACATTTGATACAAATAATCCTGTTTTTAATATTTAATAACGATTAACAGATAATATTTATAAAAATAAATTCACAAATATTTAGGCATTGTGTTCAATGGTCTGCAATTGTTATCTCATTTGCTCTAAAAAACAGCTCTACTTTCATAGATGTAACACAAATAACACCAATGATATGTTGAAATATCAAATGAAATAACAAAAAATATGTAAATAATTGTGATATAGCTTTCATTTGATTGTGAAAATGATTGATGAATGCGCCAAAAAATTAGCGAATAAATTAAAACACAATTGATTTCTATATACATATGTTTAAACATAAGATTCAATGCTTTTGTCAAACAGGACTGAAATGATTTGTAAAAATCTTTTGATAAATTAATTTCATTTCCAAAAGAGCATAAAGAAAACACAATTTTATAAATTTTCATTCATTTCTGTAAAATCCATTCAAGATTCTCATCAATCAATTCAATCTAAGTCTTAGGAATGACTGAATCTTTGGCTCAATATTGCTTTTATTCACTAAATTTATATTAAATCAATTGGAGTTCAATAAAATAAAAATACAAATCAATCTTTATGTGCTTTTTTTTGTTTCAGTTTGTTTTGTCTCATATATACTATAAATGTAAGATTGATGGCATAGGGATTACAACGAGTGTCATTATAATGCATTGTTCGCTCAATATATTTAATAAAGTTGACAACAAATATTAATTAAAAACGATATAAACAATCTATGGCATAGAAACTAATAAAGATAATTAACGCTCATTAAATATAATTAAATAAAACATTTTATCTTTTATAATTATTAATACGTTATTAATATATGATTTTTATTATATATTTTAAAATTATTTTAAAGTAAAACTAATTCTTAAAAAGTTTTTTATAAAAAAAATCAATCTTCAAATCTCACTGGAGTTCTCATTGAAAAATCATTGACCGGAGTTAATGAATATCAGTTTTAACTCAAACTCTAAGTTTTAAGAGTAAGTTATTTGTAGACATTATTTTTAAAGTCTTATGATTTGATTTCTTATAAAATAAAACAATAAATAATGAGTTGTGTATAAAATGTTGTACAATATGAGAGATGTAAAGACAACTATTAAAACAATGGCTTTTATGCAATTCATTATAGAATTCTTTGAAAAGAATATATAGTAAACGAGAACTTGTTTCTACAGGTTTTCCTACAATTGTTGTATAAATATTCATAACTAAACAAAATCCTAATCTTTTCTAATGTAAAACTAAGAAGAAATTCAATTGAAATAATTGTTTTGAAGTGAATAAATATTGAAAACTAGATTATTCTTATATAAAACAATGTCTGCGATATAATGTTTATATGTTGTATATATAATCTCTATTATTGTTAAGTGGATTACTTTTTGGAAACAATGTTTGAAACATACATTATGTTTGAGATTCAATCAAAATATGCATTTATTCCGTGAATTCAATAATAAAGACATAATATAGTATAGAATAGGCTCTTCTTTTTTAAATGATTGTCTTTATAGAAAATTCATTAAAACTATCGTTAAATGCAATGAAACATAAAATAGTAATTTCATAGACGATGTAATGGGAAGAAAATCATGATTGGCTCAATGTATAGATAGATATGTAATATATATTTTATGAATGCCTTAAGTGTTATATTGATATTCTTAACCAATGTCCACACATCAGTCATAAACAATTTAATGCTACCATTGCTTCACTGCTTGTAGTCTTAAAACTCATATTTCAGTGATTAATAATCACCGATTATAAGAGAGGTCTACAACTCGTTGCAAACATAGATATGAAATCAACTGTCGATATGAAAACATAATCCATGAAAACGTTTGCTTAATATAGAGTTTGTTTTTATCAAATAAAATCACTTTTAAAAAATCAATTCTATCCCCACAAGGATTCACATGTGCTCTGCTGTGAGAGACTTGGGGTTAGAGAGTGTATGGCAGCGAAAAAAGATGTTATGAAATACTGGAAATGGATTTATAAGTAATGCACTCATAGAGGAGGACATAATCCGAAAACTTTAGGCTAAAATAAAGACTAGTGTTTTTTGAATGCAAAGACGCTATGATTTATGTTTTTGATGAACTAATATGTGGGGTCTGTTTCGCTCCCGAAAAACTCATATGTTTGCTAAATAAACAATGAAAGTGAGAGAGAGTTTGAGTCATACATAATAGGGATAACTAGTGTACACCATATATATTGCTTCACTCCATAAGTTTCTATACAAATCATATGAAATAGAGTAGAGATATAATGCACTGAAGGCTCACATTTGCTAACTTTCACTTCATTCCTAATTTGGCATAAAATATAGCCATAGCTGACGATAAGAGACTGAACCTAATATCCATTCAAACCAATAATATATATTGATATTTGAAAGTAAAGAATGTGTTGTCATTAATGGCATTAATAGTTTGGGATTGTTTTTGATATAATAGAAAATAATGAGCACATCTTACACATAGAAAATTACAAAATTCATGACTCTTTGTGTATATGTTTGGGAATTAATGAACTATTTTATAGCAAACTTATTTGGTTTGTAATAAATGTTGATATCATATAACTTGGAGAGAGAGAGAGAGAGAGAGAGAGAGAGAGAGAGTAATGTATAGTGAAATGCTGGTGGAATAGATTGTTATAATAGTGTATATGAAATGCTGTCAACTGTGAAACAATAATAATTAGAGGTATATATGTATAGAAATCAGATAAGTCTTTAATAATTGATGGCCGGTTCGAGTTTTATGTCAAATTCATGCGCTTTTACCCCATTATAAGCACAAATATACGGATAACTATTTTCTACTTCAAAACAGAGGGGAAAAAGTTGTATTGAATGCGAATATAAAATACGTTTTGGGGTGGAGTCGAGCAAAATGATCCCAACAGCTGCCATATATTGCCCATATATTGCAAGTTTGGCTTAATTTTTTTATTTCCAATAATTTTTTGCACTAATGTTACAAAAATGCCATTCCTATCGATATTATGCCAAACAATATTTAATATAATGTATGCTTAAACTAAACGCTATACAAAGAGAGAGAGAGAGAGAGAGAGAGAGAGAGAGAGAGCCTAAACAAAAAGTTGTCGACAATAACTCTTGACTACAATAGCATTGGAAGTATTATTTTATGAAATAAACTACACATTTATATCGACTCTAATAACAATGCGAACGAAAAATTAATTAAACACAGATTAACAGTACTTGAAATCATTGTTTTATTATATATTCTCAATGCCTTCTCTCTGTACTCACCAGAAGTGCCTTTGATTTATTAGCACTTTATAACACATTTTGAATTTATTTAATCTCTTCTCTCAATTAATTTTTCTCTTCACTCTTCTTAATGAGGGGTTCATTATAATGAATAACATATTATTATTGTACATATTATTGCTTATTATTGCTATTATTACTGCAAAATAAATCAATTCTATGTAAACTTTTCGCTAACTAACCAAAGATTTATACAAATACTATTTCGCTGTAAAATAAATTTATAAAATGCAAACTTATTGCCTGTAATACTATATTCATTAATAAATTATTATCAATAATACATGAGTGAATTGGATGTAAAAATAGTCGGCTTATACTGTAATTAATGTGTAGAAAAAGGGTATAAAATAAGTTTATAATTGTCAGACGAGACGGTATTTAATTGGTTTGAATGAATGCTAAACACGGGTTAAAAAACGCAATGCACTGGTGGCCAATCGGTGCCTAATTGACAGCACCAGCCGTTTGGCATCCATTTGAATACCACTACTTGTCTATCATTTCTATCCATTTATTAATTAATTATATTTTTAGTCGAAATAATAGAAGAGAAACCGAAATAATATGTATTAAAAGCCGCACTAAAAGGCTATCGAGCCTTACGTGAAGTGATAGTAAATTGCGAGCATTTAATCTATTTTAAGCCAAACAAATACATCCGAAATCAGAAACAATTAAATGATTTTTAATACGAGATTTGAATTTCCAAATATACTGTCATTAATGGAAATCAGTTTTTTGCACATAAAAAGCAGTCGTTTGTTATATTCATTCAATCCATATATCGATTACTTTTTTGAACAATTAAATAGTTATATGAGTTGTCTATTGTTATACAAATGCAATCCATTGTTTTTATTTGATTTCAAAATAAAAGTTTACTTCAAATATAAAACAC